TGTGACAAACTGTTTCGTCGGAGTTTCACCGACTCATCAGGAGGCTGAACCCTCAACAGTCTGTAGAATCCCCTCACTGATTACACTGTAAGTGATAATCCACCTTAACCAAAATCAAAATAGACTATCACTCACCCACACCTTAGTCACCTTAGTTAAAAAAGAAGAAGACGACGACGACGACGAAGAAGAAGAAGAAATAAGCACATCATGTGAGGCTTTACTCTTGTGGAGGGGAGGACACAATGTGCCAAATGCATAGGCTGGAGTAAAACACAGTCACCCCAGCATCGCCGTTCTGCCTCACTCACTCAGGCATTGCAAACCCCAAAAAACTTTGGAAAAAGTGAAACCACTGAAAAGTTGAAAACCCCGGGGAAAAAAAACAAAAAACAAAAAAAAAAACCTTCATTGGGTGGCTTGCTTGCTCTCTGACCTGCAGTGCTGTCACAAGATCTCTGAGTGCTGCATCCCTCTGGATCACCTCGCTCTCAAGAGTGCTGATTTGCAGTTTCACTGCCTGCAGCTCTGTTTCAGCCCTGGACGAGTACGATAAGCCGCAAAAAATATGGGATGGTGTGGGAGTATGGGAGAGAGGAAGGAAAAGAAGAGAGACAGAGGGAGAGAACATCAGGGGAGGAGGAGACTAGGTTAATGCTTGCTTCTTTTTTTTTTCTCTCCTTTTTTTTTCTTTTTTTTGTCTCTTAAGGATAATGTATTTTCAGATGCAATCCCGAGTTTAATCAAGAGACCGAGGGCATACTCACACGAGGACCTAAAGATTCAAAAAATTTCAAAATTTTGCGGCATTTGCTGCCACGAAGTTGACATTTTGGGTACCCATGTGGTCGCACAGGTGGACTCTGTACAGAAAGGACAGAGTCGCGACCCACTCAGTTGGACACCAAGCCAAGTGCACGTACTCATAAAGCACCCCACCCCGAAAAAAAAAAGGTTTTCCTTTTTTTGTTTGTTTTTCCCAATGCTGAAATAACAACCGGGCTGTCTTCTTCATGCACAATTTTGTACAATTTCTTTGGAAAATGAAAGAGTCCAAAAGAGAATTTGAGACCACCTCTTGAGGCGGTCTCAAAAAAAAAAAGGGTACTCCCGCGGCTTTTGGTTCAGTAAATAAAAACTATTAAAAAGTACAAAACGGAACTGGGAGAACCCAGTGGGCCCATCGAAGAAGCTCTGTCCTGCCGCTACTGGCTGACCCTTGGCTGGTATCGCCCACCTGCTGTAGCAGGTATCGCACCTGCTGGTGGGTGCAGCTCCCGCATGTTCTCTCGTTGGAGGCTTGAGCACGGATGTGGCTGCTACGGGGKTCCCCGTAATACTATAATGACAATAAAAAAGGCCTGAAAGGCCGTCCTGTCCAGATTCGGCTGGTAATTGAATTGGTCGGGCTGAAAGACCCCAGTGTGACCAGAAATCTACCTCAAAAATTGGGAATTTAGCTAGGCTACCAGCCGGGCCGTCCGGGCAAGGACCACGGAAGGTCCCAGCAGAAAAACAAAAAAAAAAATCCAAAAAATCCACAAAAAGACTATGTTATGTAGAAAAATAAACTGAACAACTTTTGGCTCAGGGTCACATCGAAATTCTTCACCAAATTCAAAATATATATATATCGTCACATATATCGTCACAAACAGAACTGCCCGGTAAACCGTAGGCAGAGAGAGAGAAGAGGACAACAAACGAGGGGCTGTGACAAACTGTTTCGTCGGAGTTTCACCGATATATATAGTTCTATTTGACGATATATAATTTTTATTTTTATTTTTTTTAATGTTTTTGGCCCGGCCGGGCAAGTGACCCCGGGCCACTCTGGTAGCCTAGGAATTAGGTTATCATGTCCTCGTGTGAGGGAAAAAGAAAAAAAGAAAAAAAAAAAGGTCCTCGTGTGAGTATGCCCTGACTCAGTGGCAGTTAAAGATAATGTCGGATTCCCTAGGGAGAGCAGGTTAACAATAATGTAGGGATTGGGCCCTCGCTCCATTACTCGCCAAATGTGCAAAATGAGAATGAATCTTCTGCTAGAACATGGAAAGATACACCGCCATATGTTTTGTCTACTGTGCATATGGATGATGTGGTGAGAAGTGGATTCAAGGCCGTTGATCCTTGATCGGGAGTGCAGGTTTATCATTTCGCCGAAACCTGATAAGTCCGAAAAGCGCACACATTTTCATACAAATTAATAGAATAAAAAACTTTAATTGCCTAATTAGTAATAATTACCTAATTACTAACTAGGAAATTAGGACGTTCCTTTATTAAAAAAAAAGAAAAAAAAAAGAAAAGAAAAAAAAAAAGATGAATGTGCAGCGAACCCTACCTCGAGGCACATTCTCTGGCAGTTTCCAGTTCTGGAGCTCCAATTTTTTCGTTGTTCGATGCGATGTCGTCGGCACTCCGTTCCTCTCGCGAATGGTGACTGGGACCAGCACTGTCATCGCGGGTCTCGCCTCTGAGATCGCCAAAGCTCTGCATAACCCACATATAAGGTTATTGAGGGGTGAGATAAGAGAAAAGTTCAAAAAACTGAACAAATTTAGAGGTAGGAGGTACAAATGCAATGACTTGCTGTTTCCTGCCGCTGTAACCCGTCGACCCGAGGCTGTAACATAGGTAGGTTAGATTCGTTATTTTGTTTGGCTGAGCTAACTAGGATTTCCTACAGCTACCCTAACTGCGAATAGCAGACCCGGGCTACCCCTAGGACAGCCAGGACCTACGTCCTAAGCTGATAGACGGTCTTATAGCCTATAGCCGGGTAGGGAGAGGCCCTAGAGGCCGAAACTGAAACGGTACCGGTCGGTCCAGTCAGTCCGGTCTAGGTCTAGGCAAGGGTAGTGTAGAGCTTTTAATAGCTGGTAGGAATCGGTTCGGGGCTTTTGGCAGTTGGTCCCGTGTACGTCGCTGCTGTGCGACGCATGAACTGGAGTGGTGACAGCTTCAGCGTTGGAGAAGACACACATAGCCAGACCGGCGAAGCGTCGGCCATAGCTGGGACCTGCGCTGTTCTCTGACAGCACGCGGGGCTGCTCAGAGGTCCGGGCTATCTGAACTCTGCCGGAGGCAAGAGAAGTTGGTGAGTATCAGGGTGTGTGGCGCTACAGCCATAGCTGCAGCTTTCATCCTCAGAGATCATCTTGTCGGGAGAGGTGGCGCTGCTGCAGAACTTCATCCGTGAAGACACCTGGCACACCATCTTCATCAGAGACTGTGGCGCTGGTCTTCTTCCTCGAATCCTCATCCTCTGAGAGGCGCTTGGCCTCAGAGGCCTGTTTCATGGTGGCGCTTCCCTCTGGAGACAGTATCTGGGTGGCGCTGGTTGTTTCAGGGACTCAGGGGTAGTATAGCGGTTACTCAGGGTTGGGGAGTGAAGCGCTGCTCATTCCTGAGCAGCGCACCATGGTTCTGCGGTTATTCTGACATTTTGAGACTTTGAGTTTAATAAACATTGTGAATACTGTGTGTGGACTATCATTGCTTCATTGTTTCCTGGATGTGATCTACTCGGCTTTCCTTTGTGACTGGTTGTGAGGATTCTGTGGAGCGAATTGCACTTTCAGTGTTTTCTGTCATATCGCATGGGCAAGTCTTCCGCTGTGTTTATCTCTCCCTGTGCGGTGTGACACTCCCATCCTCTCCCCTTCCTCCTGTGTATGTATGGGCATACCTGGAAGTCTATGTGAGCGAGTGTTGGTCTTCTGACAACAAACAACCAGGTGCATAACACAAAGGCTTGGTGCGCTCCGAATTTTCCGATCACAATTGTTGCTGCTAAAGGGACGCTGGACCCGTTTTCCAGCATGTGCTGCTCCCCACCAATAGATGGAGCCACTGGGGCCAAGTCCCACTAGCAGCGTTGAGCTACCTCAACGCCCGAATCTGGACGTGTTTGTGGAGACGTGCAGTTCAGGAAACTCAACACCATTACTGCACATCTCCGCAAAAACGTCCAGATTCAGGCGTTGAGGTAGCTCAACGCTGCTAGTGGGACTTGGCCCCTGGGGGCACTGTTAGCGAGGGGGTTGCTCTTACCACCCCGTCTACCAGTGGCCACCGGTTTTCCAAAAACAAAAAAAAACAAAAAAAAAAAAAAAAAAAAGCTAGGAGGCAAGGGCTTGTAGCTGACCACATAGCTTTGTTTCTGTTTCTATTTTTTCAAAAGGGGGGTAGTCCCTTGCATTCTTCATGATTATTGTATGATAAATGGCTTGCAGCGGTCCCCTGTATCGCCATAGGAGTAGTGGTAGGTAGTGTAGGTAGTGAAAGAAAGCTATGTAGGTAGTGAAAGAAAGCTATGTATTATGTTCCATGACATGTCAGAACGCCAGTTTAAAAAAATATGTGAGGTGAGAAAATAAAAATAAAAATCCCCATATGCTGGACCCAGTTTCCAGCAGGTGCTGCTCCCCACCAATAGATGGAGCCTCTCTCGGGGTGCTAGTGGTGTCTGCTCCCATCAGCATCCCGAGCATCAGCTCGAACTGTTAAAAAAAAAAAAAAAAAAAAAAAAAAAAAGATGCTTTGGGTCATGGACTGTTTCGACCCCTGTTGGAAGTGGGTGGGCAGCCATGTTCAAAATGGTGGGTTACATGTGGGTCATGGGTTTCAACAAGGGTTGGAGTCATCAAAAATACGTTTGCCACGGGCCTACAGTCTTCCCCCGAATACAACGCACGGTCATTATAGCTGAATTTAGACTGAAAGATAGACCAAATTCACCTATAATGACCGTGCGTTGTATTCGGGGGAAGACTGTAGCGGCCCTGGCTCAGTGGCTCAGTTGGTACAGTCATGAACTGTGGAAATACAGACCTGCGTTCGAGTCGAGATGGATCAGATGGATGGAATTCTTGAATAACCTTGGGCCGGTCAGCCCCATGGCGATATTTCAAGACCAACGCCCTTTAAAAAAAAACATGAAGTGAAGGAAACTCAGTCCAGGATGTGCTCGTTTCGCCACCTGGATAGAGCAAATGCCCTTTTATGTGCTTTTTTAACAAGTGACGTTTCGCTGCGCAAGGAAGGGGTGAAAAAGAACAAGAGGGTCAACCACACACACATGCAGTCACACGCTCGTGTACACACACAGACACATGAAACAGCGTCACTGTCCAGTTACCTTCATTTTGTGGAGTTGTGTTTAGCGCGCGCACACACACACACACACACACACACACACACACACACACACACACACAGACATAGATGTCTTCCTTTCTGGTTGTTTGAATGTCTTTCTTTGTAATCTTTCTTCCAATTTCTGGTTTTTCGAATGTCTTTCTTTCAATTTCTTCTAATACTTTCTGGTTGTCTAATTTAGCACCCTCAGATAGTGCCAAATAGTCGGTCATCCCTTCTTTGGAGTGCCTACAACACTATTACAGGGGCTGCTCTATGCGTGATGTCTGTGTATTCCAGAGGTGATGACGAAGGTTTGTCGGAGTGACTCCCCGGCTCAGCGGGTGTTGGGAACCAACAGTCTGCGGGGTTGTCCTCGTGGTGTGCGTAGGATGAATTGCCTTGCTCTGTGTTGGATGTGCGGACGGCCTTGTCCGCGCTTCTCCGCCGCCTTCCTGCCTGCCCGCTTACCATGTCCTTCTCTGTAGCATGCCTGGTTGCCGTGTAGTCTGCCGTATCCCACTTGTGGATTGCCTGTGGGCTGCCGACTTCCAACAGGGGTCACAAAGGAGTGCATGACCCAAAGCATCAATATGGGGATTCCGCAGATTGTCGAGGGTTCAGCCTCCTGATGAGTCAGTGCAAGTCCGATGAGACAGTCTGTCATCATCAGGATTTTTTTTTTTTTTTTTTTTTTTTTTTTTTTTTTTTTTTT